TAGATTGAATTTCCACATAATTTGGCATTTTAGAGAGGAAAAATTCTAAATTGGTCAGTGTCTCTGATTTTGAGCATCATATGGCCTTAATGGAAAAAATTTTTAGTTCATTTTGAATTAATCCTATATAATAAAGAGATAATATGCAAATTGACCCTCATGCCTTCACAAGATGGCTGCCTATGACCAGGCTGGCAGGGGGATTAGTGAGGGATGACCAAATGACTGAACAAGCAGGCTGTGTGGAGCGACCAGGCCAGCAGGGGTTTGGAGAGCAGTTGGGGGTGACTAGGCCAGCAGGGGGGAACGGGGGTGCGAGGGCAACATGGGGCTGTTAGGGGTGACTGGGTTGGCAGGGGGGCAGTGTGTGGGGGGTTAGGCTGGCAGGGAAGGCAATGAGGGGTGACTAGACCTGTGGGGGTGGGGCAATTGGGGGCAACCAGGCCAGCAGAGGGGGACAGTAACAGGTGACCAGGCTGACAGGGGGGCAGTTAGAAACACCAGGCCAGCAGGGGGCGACCTGGCCAGCAGCAGGGGCGGGGGGGCAGTTAAGGATGATTAGGCCAGCATGCAGTGAGGGGCAATCAAGTCAACAGGAGGGAGCAGTTGGGGGTGACCAGGCAGGCAGGCAGATGAGCAATTAGGAGCCAGCAGTCCAGGATTGTGAGAGGAATTCTGACTACCAGTTTAGGCCTGATTCATTCACCAGGGGAGGAGGGGTATGTGTTCCTCAGCCTAGCCTATTCCCTCTCCAATCTGGGATCCCAGTGAGATTGGGCCTAAATAGGCAGTCAGATATCCCTCTCATAGTCAAGGACTGTTGGCTCCCAACCGATCGCCTGCCTTCCTGCCTGATTGCATCGAACAGCTTCTGCCTGCCAGACTGATTACCCCCTAACCACTCCCCTACCAGCCTGATCGACACCTAACTGCTCCCCTGCTGTCCCGATTGCCCCCAACTGCCCTCCCCTGCAGGTCCCCCCAAACTTCCCTCCCTTTTAGGCCTGTTCACCCCTAACTGCCCTCCCCTGCCAGCCTGGTTGTCTCCAACTACCCTCTCCTGCAGGCCTGATTGCCCCAACTTCCCTCCCCTGCCAGCCATTTTGTGGCGGTCATCTTTGACCACCAGCATATTACCCTTTTATTAGATAGGATATAAAAGCCTAAGTTATGATCAAATGGCCAGAACAACTGGTTGACCAGTCACTATGATGCACACTGACCACAAGGGGGCAGGTGCTCAATGCAGTAGCTGCCCCCTGGTGGTCAGTGGGCAACCACAGCCCACCTCCAATGGCCCTTCCCCTGAGGCACTGGTCAGGGGGGCCATCAGGCCAACCTCTCACAACCCCTCCCCCATTCCAGCTGGTCGCCTACCCATAGCCCCTAATTGGGTGCTCTGGGCCTCTTCATTATAGCCATCTTCATAACAATGTGGTACTGTGGGGAGCTGGAGGGAATAGGTATTAACTTTCTCAGAGCCACACACTTACTGCTGTGTGGCTCTGAGAAAGTTAATTTTTCTGAGCCTCGGGTACTTCATCTGTAAAATGGGGAGATAATACTTCACATGATTGTGGTAAGTATTGTAGAATGCATTAAATTACGTGACATTCCACCCTTCTCAAAGGGTTCTGAACTAGTAAATGTACAAAGCCAAAGAATAAATAAGCCATCTCTTCCAAGAATGTCAATCAAACAGAAATTTGTGGTAGTGGGTGGGGAATATTTTCTTGTTTACATAAGAGCAGATACATTATGTGAGGTCTACCTTAGTTCTTAAGGGAAAACTCAATGCGTTAAAGAAATGCCATGCTTGGGACAGGCAGCTTCAGTCATATCTCTGATGCCCCTGGTGCATCACTCCTTTGCCATCAGGAGTCTTTCCATTAAAAAGGTGAGGAGCACTGGTACATGAGAGAGACTAGCAAAGTCAGTACTAGACGGCAGAGTCTCATTTAACTCCCATCCTTATCTTATGAAGACATGTTTGTCTTGATGCCTCCTCTTAGGCATGGCTAACACTGACCTTTCCATCATCCCTCCAATCCTGATTCTTACCCTGGGTCTCCTACCTTAGTAATGGACACCACCATCCATTCAGCTATGCAAGTCAGGAACCAAAGGAGTTATCCTTGACCCCTCTCTCTTTCCTTCACATCCCACATCTAATCCTTCACTTTAAGTCATGACAACAATGCCACCTTCAGATGTCCTAAATGCAACCTTTGGCTCCATCTCCATCACCAGCACCTTAGCCTAAGCTGCCATCATCTCCTGCCTAGTGGACCTAATCACCTACCACCTGGCTACTTCCAACCCATTTTCCTGACTAAAGCAGATATGATCTTTCAGATACTCAGCTATTATCATTTATTCCCACTGCTCTTCGAATAACATTGTCCATGAGGCCCTGCATGCCTCAGCCCCTCTGCTCCTCTTAAACTATCTCCACCTGGTGCTGGTGGCTGCAGTTACATCACTTGCTCTCCTTTTGTCCTTGGCACCATGATTTCTCCATCAAGAACCATTGATCAGCCTGCTAGGTCTGGAGTGTTTCCCCGAAGCCCATGCCTGATGGTCATTTGCTGAGACAGTGTATCTTCCTCTTCCAAACTCAGCTCAGAGGTCTCTTCCTCAGAAAAACTGTTTCTAATGCTCCAGCTTATTTATCATAAATTCTGGTAGAACCATGTCCCTTTTTTTAAAGGGGCCTTTTCTCAGCTTGTAATCACATATTAAGTAACATCACTTGATGACTGTAAATTCTGTGAGGGTAGGGACTGGCGCTTTGGTCTCCATTACCTCCGGTCCTAGCAGAGTGGCTTTCCCCACCGGCAGCAGGTCCTGTTGCTGAGTGAGTGCGGTGAGGCAGCTGAGGTCCTGACAGCCCAGTGTGTGGCCCGAGGCCGTCTGTGTTCTATGGATGCTTGCAGCCTCGGAACTCCATGCCCAGGGCCTGCCCCTCTTGCTGCAGGTACTCTGCTTAGCACTGTGGGTCCAGTCCCTCCACTTTATTCTGTGGTTTTAAAAAGCCCCCTGGAAACCTCATTCTGTTTAAGAGAAATCTGTTCAATATATGTGGTTCAGAACAGGGTGGCAAAGCATGTCTTTGTGTCACCCACCCACAAGGCCTGGTAACGAACTTCTTGCTTAACACCTGCTCCACCCCCCACCCCCCACCCCATCTTCCCTTGCTCTTTTCCCACCGTGCCACAGCATGTCTTCTTAGAGCAGGCAGGACTTTCTAACCTAGGTGGATGCAGTTCTCTTTCCCTCCTCTGGTTTTCTCTTCTGCATAAAGAACATCTTTCTGCTCTCCGGACATGCCATTGGGTATGTGTCGTAAAACTCCTCCATCATCCCCAAATGTCCCAACACCCCACCACTGATGCTTGTCCTCCCGTGCAACCCTCCTGCCCTCACCTCTGTGGGTATATATCTATATGTATCTGTTTTATGATTGTGTTCTCAGTAAATTGTATACGAGTGTAGCCTAACCTGACTTTTTTTTTTCTGTTTTGTACCCTTGATTTATTGTAAGTTAATAGAAAGAGTTAGAACATAACTTTTTAAAAATAGTAAATCCCAACATATGTCCTCAGTGATTTTCAGTTTTGATATGGCTGAGAATAGCCCAGAGAGCTTTCTGTTACAATACGCATGTCCAGGTCCCATCCGAGCCTTTCACATCAGGGTAGCTGGGGCTGAGCGCATCCCAGACCCGCAGAGTGGCCTAAGGTCACAGCCAGTGTGTACCTGAGGTAGAATCGCAGTCACTGTTCCCTTGCTGAGACAGTGTATCTTCCCCTGTTTTTATTGCACTAAATTATACTAGGGGTGTGTGTGTGTGTGTGTAAGAGGGAAGAGGGAAGAAAGAGAGAGAGAGAGAGAGAGAGAGAGAGAGAGAGAGAGAGAGAGAGAGAGAGAGAGAGACAGAGAGAGACTATTCTATATCTGAATTTGTCTAAATAAAATAGTTCCCTTGTTTTATAACTGGCTTTTCCCCCCTGAATAACTGTGTATTGAAATGATGTGGATATTTTCAAACTGACAAAAGCAACCCAAATCACCTGTCTTCCCTGCACTGGGTATTCACCCAGAAACCGCAGCGTCAGCTGCTGCAATAACTTTCTTACGGGCTGCTCACTGCCCCGCCCACCTTGGGCCCGAGGCCTGCCTTTCCTGCTGCCCCTCATGGCTCTACTTCTGTGCTCTCTTTCCACTTGAATTGCCCTCCATTATGCCCACTGATTGGAGAGGAAACCTCCCTTACCCCCCTCCCCAGCTCCCACCTGCTGGAGCTTTTGGCTCAGGTGAGTGGTGGGTCCCAGTGAGGGGGGGTGTGCATAGGGTAATTAATTAAACAGTTCATTCCTCACTCAGGGGCTCCAACATGGAGGGTAGAGAGGACAGCAGTGGTAGGCTGTCCCCTGGAGGGGCCCTCCCGCCCCTATCTCTCCATCCAAAGAGCTCACTAGGAGATAATTTTGTACTATTTTTGTAATAGCTAGGGAGCAAAAAATCCTCAGTGAGGCCTGTTCTACAGGAGCTAGATCTTTAAGAAAGAAATCCCAGCTATGAAAAAATACCACACTTAGGAAACGCGCCTAGAGGCAGAGGTTAAACTGAGATGAGAGGTAGTGCTTCTGTTTTGAATCCTGGTTCCTTTTCTCAGTGACCTGGTGACTGACAGGTTGTTGAGCTTCTCTCTGCAACAGTTTCCTCAACCACACATCAGAATTTAAATAAAATGAAATAGACATGCCTACCTCACAGGTAATTTGAAGATTGTTTTAAAAATGAAATGAAATGTCTGATTACAATGCTGATCATAGTATCATTATAATGTCAGCTGAGATCATTACCTTTTTATTAGTAAAGAAGAATTTACAGAAGCTTTCCCATACATTACATTTCAATATATTGAAGTATGATTCCTCTGAAAACCATTTTTGTTGCCTATTCACAACCGTTTCTCTGTTTGTGTTTTGTTGCAGCCCTGGAAAGGAAAATATCAATGAGGCAAAGCAGAGAGGAGCTGATAAAACGAGGAGTCCTGAAGGAAATTTATGACAAAGGTAAGGGGACTGGTCCACCCTCCGCGGCCTGGAACCTGGGTGCATGTTTCTTAGAGTTGGATACAGTTTTCTGCATCACTTTATCAGGGTTGGAACCAGTAAAACTCCAGACAGTCTTGGAGAGAAAAGAGAAGGTAGCAGACGGTGATAAAGCTGTCAGCATTATATGGGGGTGGGGACACAGCCCCCTTGTTCTCAGCATTGGCATCAAACCACAGGATGCTAAGAAAAACGACATGGCTCCAGGAGTGATGCGGGTATGGCTTGTGAGCCTGCTGGTGTTCCAATACACACAGCTGGCGTGAATTTAATTGCTTAAGCTCTCAGACCTTGGGGTTCCCAAGACGAGTGTCAGAAATCCACAGCATCTAGAATTTCCCTTACAGATTTTTATGGACAGTCCACTTTCCCACAACAGGGGAAATCAAAGTGAGTAAAATTATAAAGTATAGTTGTACCTATGTGATATTTCAAAAGCCAATAGTTACAGCGATTCCGATGTTCTGTGAATGTGTCCTCACGTGTTTACCAATGAATACTGCGTGTCTTTGGCTTATTGGATTACTGCCTTTGAATCAAATGGGTGGAGTGGTTCACACAGTGTAGTAAGTATTCTTCACTCCTTTTTTCCTAAGAGTTTTGCCATTTTGAGTTGCACTCTCTCTTCTCTCCCAGGGCCGCACATCACTTAACGCTTTAAGTGAAATGACAGACTGCTGATTCCAATCTTGTAATTGTCTGTTTCACATCTTCTTGCTCGGGAGCTGGTGTTGTTTGCAGGGCAGATTATTAGAGCACAGTAATGGTCTGCTCTAAAGATCCATCTTGATAACAAGGGTGATCCTGTAGTTCTGACAGCGCAGTGGTCTGCCTGCTGTTGTAGGTCTCCTGCAGGCCTCGCTTGTGTTCTGGTTCAAAGAGGTGGATGTGTTTCCACCTGCGGAGCCTCTCTCTGGCTCCATCTCTTTTCCGTGAGTCGGTCCCTATTCCCCTGGTGCATTTCACTCACCTGTTCCTGTTATGGGGCTTCCCGGGGGTGCTGCTCGAGTATTTTCTCTTGGCACAACGTGCTGCCGAGAAATGGGACAAGCTGCAGGAAGAGGCACTCTCTCGCCCTGCTGAGCGGCAGGGGTCTGGAGGCAGGATGTGAAGTCGCACTGTTTCAAATGATTTTCTATAACCCTCAGAGCCTCCTGGGGCCAAGGAATCCCTATGGTGAGCCAGTTTATCCTGCTTCTGAGGAAGGCCACACCCAAGCACAGCTTCTCTGATTGAGTAAGCTTTCCAGGGAAAGAGAATCCATAATTTTGTCGCTTTTCTCTGATGTCTTGCTTTCTGTACAAAACCCCAAAGCCTTTCTCATACCAATGAAGTCTTCATGCTTCATTCCAAACTCCTTTCTTCATATTCACTCCCTAGGAGAGATGAGAGGTGCCTAACTACTGGTATGATCCTATATAATAAAACCCTTATATGCAAATTGACCAAATGGCTAAATGACCAGCTATGGTTAAATGGTTGCTATGATGTGCGCTGACCACCAGCGGGCAGACACCCAATGCAGGAGCCGTGCTCTGGTAGTCTCTGTGCTACCACACAGGGAGCACTACTCAGCCAGAAACTGGGCTTATGGCTGGAGAGCACAGCCTCAGCAGCAGGAGCCTCTCCCACCTCCACTGCAGGCGGGTGATAAGGAGCGAGGGGTCCCATACTTCAAGAGCCCCAGACTGTGAGAATCCTGGACTGCAAGAGGGATGTCTGACTGCAGGCTTAGACCCAATTGCCCTGGGAATCGGGCCTAAGCTGGCAGGCAGACATCCACCAAGCGGTCCTGGACTGTGAGAGGGTGCAGGCTGGGCTGAGTGACACCCACACACACACACACTGTACGAATTTTGTGCACTGGGCCTCATTTTATACATATAAAAGCCAAAGCGACCATCCGACCGTTCAACCGTTCACCCAGTAGCTATAACATGCAAAGACCACCAGGGGGCAGATGTCTCAGCCATTAGAGGAGGGAGCCAAATTCCTCATGAATCAGCTGTGGGTTAGGTTGCTGCTAGGGCACTGTTGGCCTCAAATCTGGTTCACCTGCACCCCAGACCCAGAGAGGCGGGAGGAAGGGGCTGGTGGGCATCCAGGTCCTGAGGGCTGGGCCTACAGGAGGGGTCTCAAAATCCAAGACCCCTCAGGGGATGTTAGGGTGCTGGTTTCAGCCTGATCCCCGCAGGCCAGGCTGAGGGACCCCACCGGTGCTCTGGGCCTTTAGTATTACATAATAAGCATTTATGTGTGCAAATAAGTTGCTGGCACAACTAAAGCCCATTCAGATTCAGTTAAATGATCCCTTCCCCTTCCTTTGTTCTTCCTGCAACCCTTGGATTTCTTACTGTAAAACGCCAGGAATATTCTAAAGTAGATAATACGTTTTACTCTAGCATTTATTGTTTTCATCATGTGTAACATCTAGGCCAAGATAAGCATTGCCGTAGTAACATCCTGACTTAGTAAGAAGTCAGACTGTTGGAACAAAAGCCTCACTCTATGGAGAGAGGAACATAAGGCCTGGATACGGGGGCCCTGCTCATGGTTGTGTAATAGTGCACATGCCAGAACTGAATGGAAGGAAAGGAACAGGCTGGCCCCCACTGTCACTACACTTCCTGTTTTATTTGTGTGTCTGCTCTTTCTGCCTGGTTGTCCTCAGTAGCACGCAAACTCCAGGGGAATGTGGACCTCATCAGCTTACTGCCAGACCCCTGAGCCTCAATGCTTGAGCTAGATAAAGTATTACTGTGTGGGTAATGGGGAGAAGAGAAGAAGGAAGGGAATAAAATTAGAAGTCCGTTGTGCATAGCACATGTAGAAGTTTGTTGCTATAGGTTTTTGCTATTGGCTAACGGTTTTTCTAATAAAATCATCTGTTTTGTGTCACTATGGATATTAATCACGCTACCTTATGTGACATTATATAAGCAGTTATGAACATGGGCCCTGGAATCAAATTGCTTGGATTCTATTCCAGTTTCACTACTGACAAGCTGTGAAACTAGTCAAGTTGCTTAACTTCTCTGTGCTTCTATTTCTTTATCTGAAAGTGTGGATATATTTTGAAATGAGGATTACATGAGATAATACATGTATTAATCTGTTCAGCTGCCATAACAAAACACCGCACTCTATGTGGCTTACACAACAGGAATTTATTTCCTCACAGTCAGTCCAGAGGCTGGATGTCTAAGACCAAGTGCCAGCAGGGTTGGTTTCTAGTGAGGCTCCTCTCCTTGGCTTGCAGGTGTGTCCTTCTCACCAGCTCCTCACCTGGCATTTTCTCTGTGCAAACACATTCCTGAGATTTCTTCTCTTCTTAGATGGGCATCAGACCTGCTGGGTTTGGACTCACCCTTAGAACTTCATTTAACCCTAATTACCTCCTTACATGCCCTTTCTTCACCTACAGTCACATTGGAGTTTGGCTTCAAAATATAATTCTTGGGCCCTAGCCAGTTTGGCTCAGTGGATAAAGCATCGGCCTGCAGACTGAAGGGTCCTGGGTTCAGTTCCAGTCAAGGGCACATGCTCGGGTTGTGGGCTTGATCCCCAGTAGGGTGCTTGCAGGAGACAGCCAATCAATGATTCCCCTCTCATTGATGTTTCTATCTCTTTCTCTTTCTCCCTTCCTCCGTGAAATAAATAAAAATATATTTAAAAGAATTTTTTTTTAAAAATAGGATTCTTGGGAGTGTTATCCCAAGTGTCTATAGCAGCTACCATAGCACAGGAATTCCTCACTTAATACAATAGGTCAGAAGTGGGGGGCATAAGCTACTCTGTGGCTTGTATTTTAATTGGTTTATACATAAAATCCCATAACTTTATATTAAAATTTGAAAACCAGAGAAAATCATTTTACCTTTGGATGTACTACCATTTAAGAATATGACCATCTTTGAAAACTATGTAATAAATTTTCAGAATACTTATTTAGCAGTGGGGTGAGGTTCAAACATTAAATATAAAAATGTTAAATCAATGCTGGAACATAATCTATAATTTGATGGACATTTTATTTTTAACTGTTAATCTCATGGCCCATTTGTTTGTGAACTAAAACTCAAATTGGTGTCAAGCTATAGTAATAACCAAAAGAGTGAAATCCTCACCTTCACAGAGTTCACATGCTACTATAGGGAATAATTAACCAAGTATGTGATATATTGTCAAGGTGTGATAAGGACTGTAAGAAAGTAAAGCAGCAGGCTAAAGAGACAGACTGAGAGGGAGAATGATGATTTTAGGTAAACTAGTGACCCGGTGCATAAAATTTGTGCATGCTGGAGGGGTGTCCCTCAGCCGGGCTTGTATCCTTTCCAATCTGGAACCCCTTGGGAGATATCTGACTGGTGATCTAGGCCCAATCTCACAGTCCGACATCCCTCTCGCAATCCAGGATTGCTGACACCTAACTGCTCACCTGCCTGCCTGCCTGATCACCCCTAACCACTCTGCCTGCCAACCTGCTCAACCCCAACTGCCTCCCCTGCCAGCCTGCTTCCCCCCCTCCCACTGACCTGTTTGCCCCAACTGGCCTCCTCTACCAATCTAGTCACCCCCAACTTCCCTCCCATCAGCCTGATAACCCCTAACTGCACTCTCCTCCTGACCTGATCCCCTCTAACCACCTCTGCCTCGGCCCTGCCACCATGGCTTTGCCCAGAAGGATGTCCAGAAGGTCTCCCAGAAGGTCTCCCAGTCTAATTAGCATATTACCCTTCTATCAGTATAAATGCACTTATGGAGGACTTCTGGAGGAGGTGATATTTGGACAGAAACATAAATGAAAGATCAGTAGCATTGATTCTACTGCTACTTCAAAACAAATTTTAACCTTGTTCATGAGCTCTTAAGTTCTTTAACTCAGTGTTTCTTTAAAATTAAAACCCCTTTATTGCATTTGCCGCTCTCAGTTCTTGTAAATCAGAGCACATCACCCCTGC